GCCAGGGTGCATCACGCGCAAAGGACTGGTTCTCAGCTCCACTCCCCCCGCTGCTGAAACTTTATGCGAATCAAACCACAAGAAAAAGGGCTGACAGCCTTGTATGACAGTCTTGTCGTGTGGCAGGCCTTGGCTTATCCCAGCTTTTGGCCGATAGGCCAGCGTTCAGACCCGACTCTCTCCTTTCTCTTTGTCCTGTTTTAGAAGCTGCTGGCGCTGTCTCCAGAGAAGAAGCTGTCGCAGCTCTGAAGGACATTTTTGCTGGGATCAAGCATTGCGCCAAGGATATTTATGGGAATTTGGAAATAGGGATATGGAAACTGGAAAACCAACACATTGATGTAATGCCACCTCTGGGTTTGCTTTCTTTCCCACGACCCCAAACCCTTTCCTTTGGGATTTCTGTTGTCTTGTGGGTGGGTGACCAGCGACCAGCCTCGTGCTGCCGGTCTCTTCCCCGCTCAGCGGGACGGGGTGGCCATTGCCGTAAGGTGCCATTTCTGAGCTGACGCTTGCAATACGCACATTTTAGTCACCGGCTCAGTCCGACTCTGGCATCAAAGGGAACAACTGGAGCTTTCCTGATGACGCCCGTCACCTCCCCAAGAAAGCAAGCAACAGGGGAGGGAGCTGGAAAGGCCAGGTCCCAGGCAGGGCTTTACACCAGAGAAGGGGTTTATTCCATACGAGAACAGCCAGCCCCGCACCCCGTCCTCTTTACTGCGGGGGATCCAGGGCGTACGCACTGGGTAGCGGCTCCCTGGAGATCTGAGCCCACAGAGTAACCAACCACGTGAAGCTCCATCAACAATGCTGGGGTGTTTGCAGAGCCAGCCCTGATCTGGCAGAGACATGCAACGAGTCCGGGATGATGGGTGTTTTGGCGCTGTGCCCATTCGGAGACCTCAAAAAGCAAAGAGTGGCTTGGAGGCGTTGAGGGCATCAGCGCCGCCCAGAGTCAGATCCCACAGCCGATCTCCGCCGTCTCGAAAGCTCGAGTGCCTGGAAACCCCTCTAGACTGCTGATGGCAGATGAGGCGAGCCTGCTTTGTGTTGTGCTGAATGTGTCTCCGCACGGCTTGGAAGGTTTTCGGTGCAAACCATGCCAGCCTTTTTGTCAGCTGGCCTCCGCACTGTGCACGGACCCTTGAACTGACTTGCTTTTCTCTTACTTTTAGGGCAAGAAACAATGAAAAATGATTTGCAGAACCAGAAAGTGCTGCAGCTCCATCAGCCACACTCTGTACCTGTACGTGACTTACGGCCGATGGACACTGCTGCCATGGGACATATTTGCACATTCCTGGGATAATAAACTAGCATAACTGCAAGTGAACGGCTTGGTCTGTCTTCTTTGTGCAAGGGAAAGAAGCTTGGTTTTCAAGAGTGCAACAAGAATAGGCAAAAGAAGAGACTTGGACAACTTCTTTATGTTAGGAAGTGGGGGGAAGTTGTCAGCACAAACGAGGAGCGGCGTTCACCACCCTTCCCCATATTATCTTTAATATCAACAAGTCTTCCTTTGCATTATGGTACAAGTTATTAGCCTCCTTTGTGCAAGGGAAAGAAGCTTGGTTTTAAGGGTGCAACAAAAACATGCAAAGGGAGAAAATTGAACAACTCCTCTCCTTATCTTAGAAAGTGGGGGGAAGTTGCCAGCACAACAAATGAACAGCACTCAGCCCCACTCCCCACTGTGCTATGTTTAATATCAATGAGTCATTCTTTGCATTATAATACAAGTTATTAGCCTCCAGCTGGGAGAGCCATGCAAGCACATACACAAAATGACAGACAGTCCCTTCTTGCTAAGATACTGCAGTCTTATGAGAAAAGAGACACCAGAGGTGGGAGAAATGAGGTGTTATCCCCTTTCAAAAATGAGGCTGAGACCCAAGCACATATTAGGAAGAACAGCGTTGAACGGAGGTACAGAAAGGTTTACACATAAAAACCAGTGCTGCGACTAGACTACAGTCCCCAAACCCTGCTGCCATGCCGATACCCCCGTCATCCCTGAACGTGCACCCACATCCCCGGCTTCCAGGCTGCAGACTGGGCTCGAGCATGGGATGGACCACTAGGTCCAGACGAAAGCTCCCAGAGCTGGGTTCACAGCGTGGTAGCGGTGCAGAGCGGGGAACGAAGGTGAAGGCAATCCTGCGCTGCGCTGGTAGGAGCGTCGCCAGCAGACGGAGGGCAGTGATTCTTCCCCTCTATTCA